AGCGGGGACGGCGGGTGCTCCGGGGTCTCCTCGCACAGGTGGCCTGTCAAGAGCAGGAACAGGGGTAAGTGGAAACCATCCGTGTTTCACCGCTATAAAACCTACTGCAAATTTTTATCCTCACTGCAGCTCTTCACCCACAATTTTAAAAATCAGGAGTGAGTATCTGGTTACTAACGATGCCCCGCGAGCCCTGCGGTGCTCCCTCCGGACCCTGTGGCTGTTACCACCATCAGCCATCCTCCCAGAGATGGGGTGGCACCAAAATCACAGCAGCATCCTGGGGGAGGCACCACTGAGATGAGACCCTCGCCAGCTCCAGTTCTCATTCCTGTGTTTCCCATCCCCGGGCTGTGGCACTGCTGCTGGCACAGCCACACGGTGGGACAGGGCCATGCTCCTGCTGCCATCCACACTCCACACAGGCTGTGCCGAGCAGAGCCAGGTGAGGCTCTAAACCTGCCGTGTATTTACCCAGCCTATAAATCCCATCCTCACACTTCGGACAGGGACACCAAGCTTTTCAATACTGGTTTTAACAACAATATTTTGAATTTTGTTTTAAAAAAGAGGCCAGGGTAAAAGAAAAAAAAACACCAAAGGGTGGCTGCTGCCCTGGTGCAGGATCTCTGCTTCCTCCCTCCCTCTTCCTCTGCGGGGTGTGAGTTAAACCTCTCCCTGGGTTGTGAATCTCAGATTCTCCTTCCCCGGAGCTTATCGTCCCTTTGCAGGCAAAGTATGGAAATGACGATTTCAGATATCTTATAACAGAGCTAATCTTTCTTCTGAAGATAAGATTTTAAAACCTGGAGTCACTGCTGCACGTTTATAGGATGGGGAATTAAATATATAAAATAAAAGCAGACAGCAGGTTCTGGGAAGAATAACGTTCTTACAAGCATGGTTTCCATTCCCAGGAGCCAGATGCCTCTGCCCACAGCCCAGTGGCACCCACAGCCGAGGGGCTGGTGCTGGGACGGGGGCTTCAGCGGGCAAGAGGTGGGTGCACAGGGTGCTGGTACCCAAGCTTTTTGGCTGTGTGAGCAGTGGGCTCTTACCAACGTTGGCCAGGCAGAGGTGGAGGCGGCCCCTCACCACCACGCGGACACCGAGGGGCCGCAGGGCGCCGTGCCGCAGCGCCTCCCGGCCCATCACTGTCACATCCGGCTCGTACTCGGTCGTGGCCACCTCCAGCTCGTGGTGGGTCCTGATGGCTGCCCGGCCCTGGCGCAGCAGGGGCTGAGGACAAGCATGGACAAGCAAAGGGTAATGAGTTACTGGGGGAGTCAGGTCTGGGGGTTACGGGGTCCCATAAGGATGTCTCTGGTGGGGAGTCTGGGGGTTTAGCCCTAGAATACTGCAGGGGCTCCAGAGAGGTGGAAGAAAGTTAAAGTTGTGCCATTGCTTTTGAGGAGAAGATGACAAATCCTGTGATCAGGAGCTCATCAGGCTGACACTGGTCTCGGTTGCTGACAGCAACTCGATTACTGAAGACACCAGGGTGATGCAACAGCATCTCAACAGGGACCAAAGGAAAAGTCAGGCTCTTCCTTAACACTCCTGCACACTAAGCAGGGATCCCCTCCACTCTGAGCAGCCCTGAGGACCTAAGGGGAAAGCCCTTCAGTTTAACCAATACCTCCAGTCTCACGGCAGCAGATCCAACGAGGAGCAGGGAGTCTCCATCCCAGACATCAATCTGGAGGCTGTGCTCAGCCAGGTACCGCAGAAACCAGCGCTGCTCCCCGGGGCGCAGGAAGGCGGGATCCACCATGTACTTCAGCTGCAAGCCCGGCGGCCCTGCAAGACACGTGGCATCGTCAGGGAAACAGCTTCTGCCAGCACTCCCAGGAACACTCCTGCTCCTGCTCACACACACGCTCTCCTCCACTTAATGAACCCTCAGTCAATTAGTTAGGTCCAAGGTCCTCCAGGATTGGCATCCTCCCACAGAAACACAAGGTCCCTGTGGACCCCCCCCCCCCACTCTCATTTCCATTAACAACTCCAGGTAGAGAAGGAGCTTCACCAGCCACAAGCACTTAGTGTCTCTTGGCACCAGAATTTAACAAGACACAGAAAGAAGCAAAGAAAAGCCCTCGGGTAGGAGGACAGAGCCATTCCTGGGTTGCCTGGCTTTTCAAAGGTGCTTAGCTGCAACAGAAGCCAGCAGCCTGGACCTCCAAATCATGCCACCAACACTTACCAGTGTGTTAATTCAAATGTTGGACGTTCTGAACATTCAGCATGGTGTGCCACACAAACTACAGGAGGTTTTCTATTAAAGCAGACACTGACCCATTCCCCAGCCCAGAACAGACTGATAGAAAGGGAACAGACACATGAGGATACTAAAACCAGAGCTTACCAGTGCTCAGGGTCCCATCCTTGTTCACCCGGACAAGGAGCTGTGCTGGCACAGCCGGCCCAGCCACCGGCCCCCCATCCGAGCTGACCAGCTGCAGCCGCGGTGTCGTGACCGGTGGGAAACGGTAGAACTGGAAGGTGAGGAAGATGGTTCTTGGCCATGTCCCCTCCACACTGTCCTGGGCATCCCTTGAGCAAGAGAGAGGGGTCTGGGTCAGCTTGTGGCACATGCTGCCTCTCCATCACGAGCTCCTTGTGTGTTTGGCACCCACTGAGAGGCAGGAGAAGAAGAGATGATCAGCAGCATCACAAGTATTTGGACTTCTCTGAAGGGAGTGGGCATATGGTTTGCCTTGGCTTTCCAAAAAGCTTCTGAATTCCAGCTGTCTCCCACCATATGCTGCGATGGAGGGGCCCAGCACCCAGCAAAGGCAGTGTTTTACCTTTGCACAGCACACTGCCATCCATGGAAAAAAACACAAGTGGGGCCTTATCCAGCCAAAGGCACCACCACAGGCACCAGCTTTCTGAACTCCATATGCAGCTATGGAGAGCCCCTGCACTAGTCAGCTTTTACATCCCACTGTGGCTAACAGATACAACGACAAAAAAATCAGAATATGATTGAAGAGTGCCCTGAAAGGACAAGAGCATCCTCAGAAAATCCTCCAGGCTTTGTCTCCATGGCAGGTGCTGGAGGAAGAAGCAGTATCTTTACAAAGACTCTTCCCACTGAAGCAGGGAACCAAGTTGGGGGGATTTTGGGAACAAACTCTCGCCAGGAGACCCCTGGGATCCACCCGCAGAAGGCACCACGTGGAGCTGCCATCCCACCTGCCAAAAGCCAGGAACTGCAGGATTATTTCATTGCCTTGCAGAGGGTCGTCTTCCTCCAGCTGCAGGCTGAAGCTTGCTGGGTCTGCCGGCTCCGAGATTTCCACTGGCTCCTCATTACGGTCCAGGATCTCCGGGAAGCCGGCGTGGTGCAGGCGTGCCAGGGAGGCACGGGAGAGCAGCGTGTGGGAACTGATGGAGAAACGGAGCTGAGCCGCGTGGAAGCAGCCGTGGGGGATCCTGGTGGGCTGGGTGACGGGGTGTGGGAGCCCAGGAAGGGTGGGCGAGCATCACCTGCCTGCCTGCAGCCCCACAGCAGCGATGGGCACCTGCAGCGGGGCGAAGGGCAGCGCCCGCAGCTGGTCACTGGCACAGGGATCCGGCGAGCCGAGGTCGGCTTCCAGGTGAGTGATCCCCCCGCCCCGCGGGGCTGACAGC